TCCGATTCTGTTTTCAATTATGGAAGAAAAACTTAATTTGATAAAGTCTGATCCATTGACATTTTTCCCCCTAAGAATTAGGATATGCTGGAGACATACTGATTTCAGGGAATAGAAACTTACTCAGATGACTCAAACACAAATGGACTTACCAGAGTGGCCAAGGGCAGCTCACAGATACCAAGCATAGGGAGCATCTAGAAATTGAAAGGCACCAGCCTCCTGCTTCCCACCGGCCGGTGCACAGGCCTAGTGGGGATGCCGCTTGCACTGAGTGGCTGAGGGCAACACCAAGGAGTGACAAATGGAGAAGGCCAGGACCCCAGTGACTTAGCAGAGTAGAGCCCAGCAAGCCAAGTCCTCCCCAGTGTGGAATGGCCAGATGTGCTGCCCGGGTTGGCAAGTGTGGCAAGGTATTCATGATGACCACACGGGCTCCTTTGGATTGAACACAGCAGTAGATAATCAGAGTGATAATTTTCAGCCTGGGAAACGATGAGCTAATTAGCATAATTATCCATCACTGGAAATCAAGGTCATTTCCCTGGGATTCTCTTCTCCTGCTGCCAGTCCTCCCGAGGTGTATGGTTCTGAGAGAAGGCAGGGTGCCCATGCAACCTGCCTGTGCCCTACCAGAGAGGGGGCTGCTCCCAAAACCACGCAAGGTGGGGCCTCTCTGGCAACGTCAGTGGTGCAAACACTCGCACCCAAGCCCACCCCTCTCGACCAGGTGGTGCCAAGCTTGGTTTACTCCCAGTGTGAGACAAAGAGCTCCCTAAGGACAGTAATGATCTGCGGTGGCCTGGGCATTCACGGGGGGCATCTGGCCATCAACTGCTCTGAGCCAAAGACCACAAAGTGGGCCCAGCAGGCTGTATGCTTTAAGGACACACTGAAAAGAACAAAGGCCTGGAGCCCCACGAATGAATCAAAAATTCAGTCAATGAACTACTAAACTATGAATGGTAATAGCCTATTTTACTGGATGTGAGCTGTGCACAGGTACCACGACTGGCACTTTCCATTTAATTTTCATGACAACTCTGTGATGTGCTGTCCTTGTTCCCACTGTATGAATGAGAAAAACTCTCTGGGTTCCGAGTCTTGAGATGTTTCCACTTCTACACCCAGGGCTAGGCATGGTGATGCCACATGTCCAATGTCAGCATAGTATGTTTATAAATATGGAAAATTCCATATTTCCTTGGACATCCCTCTTCAACAAGAGAACTCTTTAAAAAAAAAAAAATCTATATGCCAGGTATAAATAGGCCCCCAGCACACACATGACCACAAAATGTCATACTTAGAAGATCAAACTTTAGAAAATCAAATCAGATCCCGCTCTGGGCTCCTCTCATAAAAGTTTCCAGGAAGTCCAATGTCCAACCCTGGGGGATTCCCTCTCCCTCCCTGCAGTTATAGTGGAACCCCCAGCGCCTACTCAGGCCGTAAGGCTGGGGAGACCTGCTCTCTCCTTCGTGGTACCCGTGTCACTATGCCCACGGTGGCTGTTTGTGGGAACAGAGCCCAGCCACCTTCCTCTCCAGGAACACCCCAAATCAGCCCCTGCCTAAGCTCAGGGCTACTCCACACCCTTCCCCAAAGCTCAGAAATAAACAACTCCCCCCTGTATGAGAAGAACCAGCTTAATCATGAAACACAAAAGTTATTAACTTCTCTTTGAGGCAGGAGAGCTCCCCACTTGGAACCAAGAGCCTGGCCGCCACGCCACCAGGGCAGGGCAGGAGACAAATCCCTTTACACTTTCGTGGCTGAGTCTTCAGCAGCCAGGAAGCCAAACACCAATTAATTTTTCAAACGCTCTCTCTGTCACACCTGTCTTGTCCACGGGGCTTCTTTGAACGAAGTATACCATAGGTAAAAATGAAATGGTTGAGACAACTGGGCCCATGGTTTGCACCTTGCATGACGGGAGACCGAGTTACCCTGAGACCTCTGAGCTGCCAGAGAAGCTCATCAGATCTAAATGTTACCCAACGTCAGAGCAGCAGTTACTAGATCTTGGCTTTTGAATACCAATCCCACTAAAGGAAACCAAGGCTCCTCGGAAAAATGATAGTCTGCAGGCCAGGCCAGGAAAAGTACCATATGGGCCTGTAACACCTAATTGTGTCTGAAGAGCAAATGCTAAAAAAAAAAAAAAAAAAAAAAAAAAAATGGGAACATTTAAGGAGGACACAGAAGCCAACTTGAATCCATTTGAAGGGGTTCACAATGTGAGCATGAAAACAATGATAGTTGCTATGGACTGAATTTTGCCCTCTCTCAAAGTTCTTTGGTAGGAGCCCTAATATCCGGTGTGATGGTATTTGGAGATGGGGCCTTTGGGAGGTGATTAGGTTTACATGAGGTCATGAGGATGGAGCCCTCATGATGGGAGTAGTGCCCTTATAAGAAGAGACATGGCAGGGAGTTTGCTGTCTCTCTCTGCCCTGTGAGGACATGTTAGGACATGTCCATCTGCAACCCAACCATGCTGGCACCTGGATCTTGAACTTCTAGTTTCAGAACTGTGAGAAAATAAATTTCTGATGTTTGAGCCACCCAGTCTGTGTTATTTGGTTGTGGCAGCCCTAGCTGAGTAAGACTGTGATCCATTGGATAAAATGAGAATCCAAGAGTCCATATAGATATGAAAGCAAACCAGCCAGGAATTCCAAAGAAAGTGTCGCTTGACTCCTATTGCAAAAACATGTCTTTCCCTGCTAGATCGTGGATGTAATCACAGATAGCCCACGTCTGGGTTATGAAGTGACACCTAAGACTGAGAAGTTGGGAGGTAGAGGAGTTGTCAACCTGGTCGACCTCTCTGTGTGACCGTTGGGAAGATCTGCCCCCCAAGAGAAAAGCAAGGATTTTAAAGCAGAAAAGGCCAGGGTGGGGTGTTAGGCAGACAAAAACAACAGACGTCAACTACGTCCTGCCCTCTGACTGCCCAACTTCCACATACCGCCATCTTCCTATACCTTCAAAAATGCCTGCACCTAACAGCATATAACAAATCGTGTACAATCAAACACAGCCCGCTCTCCCATCCCAAAATATAGACAACCTAAAGTCATGTCCATATCCATGTCCAAACCCATGATCTCTGCGAGAATGTCCTTAATCACAGTTAGATCCGAATGCAGTTTCTGCAGGGCCAGCAACCTACAGCTGAATGGTAAACTAACTCTTCCACTTAACACATTTCTTGTACAACAGTGAAGAGAAAAAACATTGGAACAGAAATCCCTTTGGGAAAAAGGTAGAGGAGGAAACAACACAGGACTGTCATTTTGCATTATCTGGCTCAGGCATAAGGGCGAGGACTCCCTCCTGGCGTTGGGCAAGTCCCTTGGTTAGCCACTTGGGGCTCTTCCTGCTCCCGCCACCTCCCTCATCTGCTGAACTTGAAGGATGTTCCCTGGACAGCTACCCGTCTTTGGCTATGCGATTCCCCCTGGTGTAGGTTCAAGGCTTCCTGATTGCTATGATGGCTTCAGGGGTTGAGGAACTCAAGCTTTTAGTGTCCCAGGATTGGGGTTTCTCCAGAAGTCCATTGACCTGTGAGCTCATTACGATTCTGGTCTATTTGGTTTAGGATAACTCCTTGCACCGATACCCAAAGCTAGAACTCTATTTGAGGTATAGTCCTTGCACCCAAGCTATGGCTTGGGAAATTCTACAGATTAGAGCCAGGTGACCCTCTGTTCTCTGTCTACCCCAACTCCCTCCATCCGAGATGTGGCTTCCACCTTGGCCAGGTAACCTAGCAAACAAAGCAGGGAGGAGAGTGTGCTCAGCTGCCGTGTGCCCAGGCTAAGTCCCAGTGATGGCTCTTTTCCTGTGGCAACTCCCACCCTTGTCAGCAGCCCATGTGGGACATGAAGGTGCTATTTGCGAGGGATGGGGCGGTGGGGGCGAGGCAGATGTTACATTTTTCAGGGATATCTACATGTCTTGCTCTGTTTCCTTCTCCCAAATTAACTTGAGTATGAGACAGAGCAGGTTTTTCTAATTCTGTAAGGAGGAAGATTATCTACCTCTCGGTCGACTTGGATTATGGACCACAAGCAGAAAAAGCCTTTTTTAAGAAAGCAAACTTCATTGTCTCTCATCCCTTGGATGTGCCAGCTTCCACCAAAGCTCATCTCTTTCTTGTAAGAGTTTACCAACGTCCACAATATGCAGCCAGCATATTCTGAGATCCTCCTGCCATGTCTTTTAAGGTCCAACAGCAGCAGGCACATGGCCCCAGTCTCAGCAGAAGCCAGCAGCTCTCGGCCTGCCGGTTTGCTCCTGTACGACCGGGACTGCCGACTTCCAGCTGCGGATGGGGAAATTGTCACTGCTGTACACCGCTCTCCACCCGGCTGACCCCTCATTTCAGGTTCTGTCGCTTGCAACACCCCACTTCTGCTACCAACTTTAATATCGAGTCAGATCTTTCGGTTGCAGGAGATAAAAGTCGGATTTATTTTCTCTGGTAACTGAAAAGTCCAGGGTTAGCTATGCCTTCAGGCACCATAGGATCCAGGTGCTCAAAAGATGCTACTGAGAACTTTCTTCAGCTCTTGGCTCTGCTTCCCTACGTCTTTGGTAGAAATATGGCTACCAGCAGCTCCCAATGTAAATCCTACCAGGTTAGCAACTTCACAGAGAGACAGCTTCTCTTTCCAGTCAGAACTGCAAGGCCAACTCTCATTCGGGGTTATGTGTCCACCCCTAAATCTAACTCCCGTGGTGGGGGGCAGGGGATCAGCCTCAGCAGAGCCCCATGGACAAAGAGCTGGGCACGGGGAAATGAATGCTTGACAGGCACAAACAACACACATCCGCTCTAAGTGTCCAGATTAAACGGCAGCTGTACCTGGAGAGCACAAAGAAGGAGGGAGTGAGCAATTCTGGAACATCTGCTATGTGTCTTTCATCTGCTGATTTTTTCAACATAAATTATAGAGCACCGGTTATTACAAATAACAATAGAAGCTAAATCTTATATAGCATTTATTGTTTACTGGGCTTCACGCTATTATTGATAACTCATTTAATCCTCACACCGCTACAAGGTTAGCATCGCAATCATCACCCTAATTCGACAGAACGCACGCCCATCACTGCAGGTTACACAGAATCCGCTGCAGAGCTGGGCATCAGTATTCACGTCCCAGGGCCACTGTAAACAAATATGGTGAACTGGATGGCTTACAACAGCAGATATTCGTTCCCCACATTTCTGGAGGTTGGAAGTCCCCGGTGAAGGTGTCAGCAGAGCCACACTCCCCCTGCCACCCTGGGTGGAATCCTTCCTGCCTCTTCCTCGCCCTTGGTGGTGGCCGGCACTCCTCGGCCTTCCTGAGCTTGCAGCTGGCCGGTCCCGCCTCTGCTGTCCTGATCACGTGGGCTTCTCCCTGTGTGTCTGCTTTTCCTCTTCTTATAAGGACGCCAGTCATATTGCACTAGGGCCCACACTAATGATCTCATTTCAGCTTTATTACATCCGCACGACCCTATTTCCAAGTTGGGTCACGTTCACAGGTACTGGGGGTTTGAACTTCAGCATGTCTCTGTGGGTCACACATCACAGCATCCAGGCCAGGCCTGGTCCCAGAGTCTTTGCTCACCTCTAGCCCCAGGTCAGCAAGACAGCTACTGGGGTCCCCAGGGTGAGGAAGCCAGAGTGTCCCTTCCAGGGACTTTCACAGTGCGGGGAGACGAACTTGGCATGGTAAGCAAAGAGGCCTCCACGCAGGGCAGGCACAGAGACCAGGCACCCACACAGCCCTGGGCAGGCTCTAGGGGAGGTGAGGAGGAGGCAGCAGGCAGGGTGGGGAAGGGAGGAGCGGGCTCCAGGGGGCACGGACATCATGGGCAAAGGCCAGGGGGCAAAAGGGATTCAGGCAAATCAGTTCAAAGGGAGGTCAAAGAGGGCAATGGGAGAGAGGACCTTGAAGAGGTGGCAGGGCAGAGCCCCCAGGGTGGGGGCGCTGTGCTGAGGAGCTCGGATGTCAAGACGTGAGGATGGCATGTCCGGGACATCGTGAGGAGCCATCCCATCCGGGGCAAGCGAGGGGCTCGAGCAGAGGGGCTCAAGCCGATGTCTTGATCAGATCCTCACTGCGCTGTGAGGTCGGAGGTGCTGGCCCCTGTTTATGCAACGTAGAAGGAAATTGAGGCTCCCAGAGATTAAGCCAGGTAGGTCTAGAGACAGAGGCAGAATCCAGCCCAGACTCTCGTCCTGCAAGGTCTCCACGGGACTCCTCATACTCCAGGGAGTTGTGGGACAGGTGGCAACGGGCCGGTCACCAGGGCGGATGCTGAGTTCAAGTCCTGCCCTTCCACTCATAGGGTGTGGCTTAAGGAGAGGTGCTTTCCCTTTGTGAGTGCAGACACCTCGGCCTGGCCTGGGCTGCTCTGGGAGTGCCCAAGAGGTGAGAGTGAGAAGGGGCTTGGGGAGTGCCATGCAGGACAACAGGAGCAGCCTGGGGACGGAAGCATTCCTACAGTCGTTGTTGTCGTTCTGTGGGATGATGGGAAGTGTGGCTGCCCCGGGCAGGCAGAGCTGGAGAAAGAAGGACCTTCCAGTTAGCTTCCTGCGTCACCACCCCGCCACCCCCAGCAGAACTGCATGTCCTCCCTTCGTCTCCTCCCAGTGCAATCAGCGCTTTAATTAAAATGAGCTCATCAGACTCTTCAGAGGCGCAGCCAACAAAGGAAACAAAACCGGCAATTACCTTCTGGGGACAGCGCCTGGGGATTTGGAAGTCTCCAAGGAAGAAAAGCAAGTGTAGGTGGCGCAGAAGGACTTAGAGAGACAGGGAGACACTTTCCTCTCTGTGTGAGATGCCGGCAGACACGCAGATGGATTTCCGAGGGGACGGGGGATTTCTAGGGTGGGCGTCCCACATTCCAGCTCCCGGTGGGGGTCCGGGACTGGGCCGGGGATGCCAGGGAGGAGCAGGCTGCTATCTGCCCCACCAGCGAGATAGGTGGCTGGGTTTGAAGTGACTCTCTGTTTTGTCTACTTGGGAAATGGGGGCCCTATCTGGTTAGAACGGCCCGTGCCTGGCCCCCTTGCTGGGGTATCTGTCTGCCCTCTGCTCACCTGCTCCCAAACAGTCATCCCTGAGGGCCACAGAGCCTGCCAGGGCCCCTCCAGCCCCCTGCACCCCAGCCTCAAACGCCAACGCCAACCCTCAAACGCCAACGCCCCAGCCTCAAACTCAAACGCCAGCCTGTGAGGAAGCCCACGCAGCTGCATGGAAAGGCCCACGAGGAAGGTAAAAGAGGCTCCCAGCCAGCCCGCCAGCCAGCAGTCCCCACTGAGCTTCCTAACTCGGAAGGGAACCTTCCAGCCCGGCCAAATTATCCCAGCTGATGCCGGATGGAGCTGACAGATGATCTCGCCGAGCCCACAAAATTGCAATATTGTGAGCAAAGGAATGATCTTTGTTTTAAGCCACTAAATTTGGGGGTGGTTTGTTATGCAGCTATAGATGAGCAGAAGACAGCTTGGCACGTGGAGGTAGGATGCTGCAGAAACAAAACATACATGCTGCGAGGACCAGACAACAGGAAGGGCTTCAAAGAAACTGTGAGTGAAAGCTTAGAGAACAGTGAGGAAATTACTACTGGGTGCTGAAGAAAATCGCAGCCGAGCAAATGTTTGCTCTGGGCAGACTGTGCCAGTGCTTGTCTATGGAAACAGAGCGTAAGACATGCACACAATTCCAAATGTTCTAGTGAGCATGTTTAAAAAAAAGTAAAAATAAACCGATTAAATTGATTTTTATAGTATTCCATTTAGCCTAGTCTATCCAAAGGATTGTTATTCAACAAGTAATCAATATTGAAAATCATTACGTTTTTTATACTAAGTCTTCCAAGCTCTGCGTGTACCTTACACTTACCTCTCAATTCGGATGAGCCACACTGCAAGGGCCGATGTGCACAGTGGACACACTGCGTGCAAACATTGTCTGCATTGTGCGTTAGTGGCGGGTGGTGGCCTCCGTTCCATCTGTCAGCTTGGCGCATTGCCCTCCTGTGGAACTGTGGCCCAGGAGGGTGTATTCACCCCCATGGAGCATGGCACAGGGCCTGGTTCTTGGTAGGAGCTTTGAAACCGTTTTGGAGTGAACGAAAGATTATGGTGAGAGTCCCCTGCTCTCAAAGTAAGAAATGACTGTGGGAGATGTGAGCCTCTCATTCTCCGGGCATCCTGCTCCATGTGCCCTTTTCTCTCCTGAGCTGCGGGAAGGGAACCCAGCGCCGGTGAGGAAACCGTGGGACCGACAGGCGAGCTTCTGTCCATCTGACGGCCGCTCATTTCAAATACCAGCCCGGACGGGTGTGCAAAGGGGTCAAAGGAAAGCAGATGAGGCCATCGCAGGGGACATAGGGAGACGTTTTACTTTCTACATCCTTCTACTTACTTTTGTCCCCTCACTTACTCAACCATACATGCTTATTAGCCCGTGAGCTTGTTCATTCAGGAAACATTCCCAGAGCCCTCCATTTGAGCCCGGCCGTCTGCTAGATGCCCGCGTGTCTGGTGGGTAAACTAGAAACCATCCCACCTCTGTGATCCTCGGATGCAGTTCTTCCAGCAGAACATTTGTTAAAACTAGAGCACACGTAAGCACGTGAGCAATCCCTGCACACCACGACACCCTCCCCGCCCCCCACGCTCTAACGAACCTCCCTTCTCCCCTCCCCCGCTCAGAGTGCCACTCAATGCCAAGGGCAGCACTCGGCACTCCTGCCATCCTCTCTCCAACACTCCACTCTTACAGATGAAAAAGCTCTGGCTCAGAAAGCCCAAGTAGCTCACCTGGTGCCATCAGCTACCAGGGGCAGAGCCCAGATGCAAACCCGAATCTTCAGTCTCCCAACACGAGCAGCTTTTGGCCACGCTTCAGGTCCTCGTCACGGCTGTTGAAACCCCTCGCAGCTCCGGCCGCCCCTTCCAGGCACACGGTACCCGCACAGCACATAGTAGGTGCTCAGAAAACATGTACTGAATAGCCGGATTAAAGAACGAAATGGATGAATGAATTAAATAATTCTCCCTCCCTTTGTAATTATTTGTGTTTTTGCATCAGTCTGATTAAAATGTAGGAACCATGGCATGAACGGCAGGTGGGCTTGGAATCACCCGGGTCTGGATTCACACCCTGGCTTTGCCCATGTTTGCTGAGTGACCTGAACAAGGTCAACCTCTCTGAGCCTGGTTTTTTTTTTTTTGAGACAGAGTCTCACTCTGTTGCCCCGGCTAGAGTGCCGTGGCATCAGCCTAGCTCACAGCAACCTCAAACTCCTGGGCTCAAGCGATCCTCCTGCCTCAGCCTCCCAAGTAGCTGGGACTACAGACATGCGCCACCATGCCCGGCTAATTTTTTCTATTTTCAGTTGTTTGGCTAATTTCTTTCTATTTATAGTAGAGACGGGGTCTCGCTCTTGCTCAGGCTGGTCTCAAACTCCTGAGCTCAAACAAACCTCCTGCCTCGGCCGCCCAGAGTGCTAGGATTACAGGCGTGAGCCACCGCGCCCGGCCTCTGAGCCTGTGTTGTGTGGTTTAGAGGCGACATAACTGAGATGCGATGCTTGTGTGTGGCACAGCGTGAGGAGCTCAGGAAATTGAGTGCCAGCCGAGTTGAACCGAATTGAACTGCAGTTTCACAGCAGAGTGCTAGGCAGCAGAGTGCTAGGCAGCCCCAGAGAAGGGGAGGTTTAATTTGGGTTGGGAGAAAGAGGCCAGGGCATTAAACTCACCCGGGGAACGTGTGGAATCCAGATTGCACAGCCCCGTTCCAGAGAATCTGGTTCGGGAAGAATCTGCATTTTAACGAGGTCCCCTGTGATCCAGTTACAAGCAGTCCCGGGTCACTTAGTGAATGGTCAGAAAAAATGTGCTTTATGGAGTTAGTGGGCAGAGGAGGGAGCACTGGGGCCAGGCCTCAAAGGACAGCAAGGTTTTCTGTTGTTTTGCTGCCCCTGCAGGCTCAAATTTTCCAGCCTGCTAAAGAGGGGCGGGTCCCGGCCGTGTCCAGCCCCGTGATGTGCCTGGAATAATTGATCAAGACTCTCAGCGAGACGCTCATGAAATCTTAAACCCTTTCTAGACTCCCAGGAAGGGCAGGCAGTCACCTGAGGTCTCTCTAGCCCCCCTTCTCCATGTGGGTCCCAGATGAGGCGAGGTGACAAGGTCATGCCCCCTGCTGTGGCCTTCAGGCCAAGAGCCTTTAAGGAACAGAATGTTCCTTCTCGCTGGGTCTCAAGTTCTCCGCACGCATGAATTATGTATCTAGTGCTTGGCAAAACAACAGCCTGGAGACTGTTCCCGGAACCCAAAGTCATGTCCCCTCCCTCCATCCCCACGCCACACTGCCAGGACGAGACCATGCAGGTGGCTGCCACCTGCGTCCCGGCTCCAGGGCACTTTCCTCTTGCCTCCAGCCCTCACCAGCTGCGTGGCCGGTGAAGTCACCTCTCGGCTCCTGGCCTCAGGCGGGGACAGTCAGACCTCCCTCCTGACCGCTGGGAGCACGGCGGGAGAGAAAACGGAGGAGGCAGCCAGTGCAGGGCCTCCTGCACATCAAGGACTGTTACTCCTGACAGTGCTCCCTGCGCCCCTGTGTCCCCAGGGAGGTGACACCGGGCCCATAACGGTGTCACACGAGCAGTGCGAAACATGGAGCCTCAAGGATTCACGGCGTTGACAGTGAGCAGCGAGCGAGTCTGCTCCGTGTCCGCGAGGAGACATGACCTGGCTCTCTCTAGGTCACTCCCTAAAGCCACAATCCTGAATAACAGCCCCGGGAAAAGAGCCACCAGAGCCTTGCGTTCTTGCCGTCCCCCGTAAGAATGTGCAGGGATGCTCAGGCCCCATGGCGGAGTGCCTCTCCCAGCAAGTAAATGGTTTTAAAATGAAGAAATGCTATGGAGAAAATAAAGTAAAGTGATGTGATAGAGAATGGAGGGGGGGTACTTTAGCTGGAGTAATCAGGGAGGGCCTGCTGGAGGAGGCGGCTTTGGAAATGAAACCAGAACTATCAGAAGAAAGACCTAGAGAAAGAGCATTCCGAGCAGAAGGAATAGCAGAGACTAATCCCCTGAGGGGAAACACACTTCACTTGGTGGGCCCCGTGGGACAGCAAGAAGCCCCGTAAGGCCATGGCACAGTGAATGGGAGGGTTGGCAGGCTGAGAATGGGGTGTAAGGGAGACAGAAGGCTGAGGAGGACTCCTGGATCCTTTGCCAATTTCCCCAAAGACCCGTAGCAAAGGCATCCTCTCTTCTGGGCAGACACAGCCCTTCGCCTGGGCACAGGGTTCGATGAGGGGGGCACGGCTGATCTGAAGCTTTTCCCACCTCTCTGCCAGGCACCCTTGTGCGGTGCGCAACCTCCGGAACTGTACACGGAGGACCTGGGTAGCACTACTTTCTTCCTGTGACGGAGCCAAGTGGAAGGGAGAAATCATAGCTCAGTGCTGGCCAGGTTAAATTTGAGATGCCATTAGCCGCCCAGGACGGGCTGCTGAGTAGACAGCTGTACAGAATGTGCCCCTATGAAGCTCAGGACAGGGGTCTGGGTGTCCTCCACGGATCATGTTACATGCCTGGATGAGGTCACTCATGCAGGGCATATAGAGAGGAGGAGGATCTTTCTAACATGCGCATCTGCCTGTGCAGGGCCTACCAGTCAGTGGGTGACACCAGCAAGGTACTTAGGAATCAAAATTTAAGGAGGCACTGAGTGTCACTAACCAGAAAATGCAGGGCTAGCACCTGAGAGTGAGTGCCACCTTAAATCGTGTGTCTCCTTAAGTCTAGTCCCAGTCCTGGGTAATTGGGTGGAGACAGGAAGGTCATCACAACCAATGGTGCTGGTCCAATCAGGAAGGTCATTACAACCAATGGCGCTGGTCCAATCGGACATATCTGTGGGGGAGGGGAAAAAAAGAGCTTCAACCTTTAGTCCACACCATATATAAGAACAAAAATAGATCATAACCCTAAGCATAAAAGCTAAAACTATAAAACTTCCATGGAGAAAAAGGAGAAAATCGTCATGACTTTGAGGCAGGCAAAGATTTCTTAGATAGGACACAAAAAACATGAATCATAAAAGAAAAAAAAAAAAGATCCATTGGATTTTACCCAAACTAAGAACTTATGTATACATGATAGAATACTAGTCACCTATTTGCAATAGCACGGATGAACCCAGAGGACGTTGTGCTAAGTGAATTACCCAGACTCAGAAAGAAAAATTCTGTATGATATCCCTTATACATGGAAACTGAAAAAAAAGAAAAGAAAATTTGTCATAGATTTTGCAATTAATAAAAAAAAGAAAAAGGAAATAAAAGAAAAATTGAGTACATAGAAACAGAGAGTAGAACAATTGTTACCAGGGGGAGAAGGGGGAGATGGGAAGAGGTAGGTGAAGAGTATAAAGTCACAGCTAAGCAGAATGAGTGAGTCCAGAGATCTAATGCACAACATGAGGATGGCAGTGAATAATATTGTAGGGTATACTGGTAATTTGCCAAAAGAGTAGATCGTAGGTACTCTTAACACAAAAAAAGGAAGGAAGGAAGGAAGGAAACTATATGAGATGATGAATATGTTAATTTGCTCGATTATAGCAATCATTTCACTATGTATATGTATAGTGAGATAAATATATCAAAACATCATGTTGTAGACCTTAAATATATACAGTAAAAAAGCCAGAAACAAACCAAATAAATCAATGAAAACTTAAAACATTTTTTTAAAAAATGTAAAATGTCACAGAGAAAATATTGCAGTGTATACGACTGATGTAGGACTTGTATTCAAAATGCATAAAGAACTCAATACTAAAACTTAATGCTAAGCCAATACTCAATACTAAAAAGACAAAAAATTCAAGTTTTTTAAAAGAGGCAAAAGATTTGAACAGACCATTCACAGAAGAAAATAAACAAATGGCCACTAAGCACAAGAATAGGTGCTGAACATCACCGGTTATCAGGGAAATGCAAATTTAAACCAGAATGAAATGTCACTTTACACCCACTAGGATGGTTTAAAGATAAAAAAAATTTAAAAATCAGCAGTGAAAATATCAAGTGCTGGCGAGAATGTGAGGCAACTGGAATTCTCATACACTGTTGGTGGGAGCATGACACGTACAAACACTTTGTAAAACAGACTCGCAGTTTCTTATAGGCATATAACTAGGCAAACAAAATATCTATACAAGACGTACACACAAATGTTCACGAACATTTAGTCGTAATAGCCAAAGATGCAGAAACAACCCCAAAGTCCATTCACTGGAGGATGCATAAACAAACTGTGGTCTACCCACACATCAGAACACGACACAGCAGTAAAAATGGAACCACCCATATAGACAACAATATAGATGAGCCTCAAAGACATCATGCTGAAAAAAAAAAAAAAAGACATCATGCTGAACAAAAGGAGTTATCCAGAGAAAGTACATTCTGTGTGATCAATTTATAGACATCTTACCAAAAAGTGTATACAGACCACAAGTAAGCACTTGAAAAGGTGTTCAACACCATTAGCCACTAGGGAAATACAAACTAAAAACCACCATGAGATAGCATGACACACTTATCCGATTGGCTAAAGTAAATGACAATGCCCATATTTGTCAAAGTTGTCCAGAGAAACAGAACCAGTAGGATGTGTACAGATATAGAAGAGGAGATTTATTATGAAGAATCGGCTCGTGTAATTACGGGGAGCCTGAGAAGTCCCACAGGGCTGGAGACCCAGGAAAGCCAGCGCTATAATTCAGTGCAAGTCCCCTGACAACCAGGGGAGCACATGTTATATACAAATCCCAGTCCGAGAGCAGGACTAGTTGTAGACGAGATGTCCCAGCTCAGGCAGGGAGGCATTAAAATAAGGCAAATTCCTTCTTCTGCTGCCTTTTTGTTCCATTCAAGCCCTCACTACTTTCATGATGTCCTCCTACTTCGGAGAGGACAATCTGCTTTCCCAACTCCACTAATTCAAATGTTATCCTTGTCCAGAAACACCAACTGATACACACCCATAAATAATGCTTAATCTGGGCACTCCATAAAAGGTGACAAATAAAATTAACCTTTACAACACAAAATGCTGGCAAGGATGTGAAGAAACCACTCTTACATTGCATGTGGAATGCAAAATGGTACAGCCGCTGTGGAAAACAGCTTGGCAGTTTCTTTCAAAATAAAAATGTAACTACCATATGACCCAGCGATTGAATTCCTGGACATTTATCGAAGAGAACTGAAGACATGCTCATGCAAAAACCTGTACATGAATATTTATAGCAGCTTGGTGCATGAGAGCTAGAGACGACCCAGACATCCCCAACAGGCACATGGTTAAACAGACTACGGTATATCCATAAATGGAATACTACTCGGCAATGAAAAGGAATGAACTACTGATACAGGCGACAACCTGGATGGATCTCCAGAGAACTATGCTAAGTGAAAGACACCAATCCCGAAAGTGTATAAACTACATGACTCTATTTTTGCAACATTCTGGAAATGACAAAATTATAGAAATGGAGAACAGGTTAGTGGCTGTCGTGGCTAAAGAGTGGCTGGGGCAGGAAGGAAGCAGGTCTGACTATAAAAAAGCAAACTGAGGGCTCCTCGGGGTGATGAATTTAAATGTCCCGGATCTTTGCCATGTCAATGCCAACATCCTGGTGCTGATATTGTGTAATTTTGCAAGATGTAACCACTGGGGGAAACTGTGTAGAGGGTACATGAGATACATGAAATCCCTGTATTATTTCTTACAACTGCACGTGAATCTACAATCATCTCAAAATGAAACTTTTAATTGGAAAGCACCATGAAATATTTCAGCCAAAGATTTTCAAGATCTTAGTATTAAAATACTAAAGAACAGCTAAATATGTAAAGAGATATACCTTGTTCTAGAAGATAAATATTTTTTATCTTTAAGACATCAATTTTCCACAAAAAGAGTTAATATAATTGCGATCAAGTCCAGGTTATTTCGTGGAGCTGGCAAGGTAATTCTAAAATGTATCCAGGAGAGCAAAGAGGCAAGAGTAAGTAGCAAGGAAATTTCTAAAAAGGAACAGTGAGGAAACTTGCCCTACCATATGTCAATTAGTATGAAGCTATAGTATCTAAATCAGAATAGCGTTAGTGTTGGAGTAGATGAACAACCAATGGAACAGAGCAACCTAGAAACAGACCCTTACCTAGATGGACCCCTGAGAAATCTGGTGTTTCATATCAACAGGAAAGAGCTAGTCTGCCCCATAAAGGCCTGGGATAATGGAATATTCATATGGGAGAAATAAAATCGCTTCCTTACCCCACACTAAAAAAGAAAATCAGTTATAAAAGAGCTGAAATATGAAAAGAAACAATGTTTTAATTTTTACTAAAAAACTATAGGAAGGTATTCTTACGTTCTTAAATTGGGAAATGATTTCTTAAATAAGGACTAACTGCAAAGGAAAATGTTAATACATTTTGGCCAAATTAAAATTAAGAACCCCTGTTCATCAAAATATATAACAGAGTGAAATAAAATGTAGCAAGGAAAGAAGATATTTAAACACCTATAACCAACAAGATTAGTATCTAAAATATATAGGTACTTTTACAAAAAGTCAGTAAGAAAAAAAATCAATAACTGCATTTTTAAAAAGAGCACAAAAGACCTCGTGATAGGCATTTCTCATCAAAGGACATGGGACTGATCAACAGATGTATAGAAGATGCTTAATGTCATTAGTAATTATATAAATAAGGATTAAATTCAAATGAAACACATTTTATTGTATTTGCAAAAATTTTAAAATCTAACAGCACAAAGTGTTGTGAAAATGTGGAGCCCTGCATGCTATAGGTAGGACAGTAAAATAGATAAAACCTCTGGGAAACAGGAAATTGGAAAGCAATGAGCATCATTTAGTGAAAACGCAGATGAGCTGACCACACATGGCCCTACAGGTCCATCCCTAGCATATTTCCTGAGAGCCCCTTGTACCTGTGGATTGGGAGACACGTTTGAGAACATTCATAGCAACAGTGTTTGCTGCAGCAGAAAACCTGGAAATGACCAAAATATCCATCAAAGACCTAATGCATCGATACACTATGATATAGACATGCACATGGGACATTGTATAGCAGGGAAAAACAGCACACTTCAGCTACACAAAGAACGCTGAACAAAAAAGGGGAGGGGAAGTCACCAAAATGCAATTTTATTTTATAAAGATTTGAAACAGGTAACCTATAAAGGCAAAATTCTAAAGAAAAAGCAAGAGAACAATGAACATGACAACTTAGGACGGAGGTGACCCTGGAGAGGGAGCAGGAAAGAGATGCCTTTAGAGAGACACACACCAGGATTTGAAGATCACTGCTCGTTGTTCTAGTTCTTAAACTGCAAGGGGTTTTATTATTCTTTAAATTGTACATACACAACATACATGCCCTTTTGTACAGATGAGACTTCCAGATAAAAGTATGTCATATTTTTACAGCCAACAAGGAGCCATGGAAGGTCCCAAGCAGGCTGATTGGCCACTGGACACAGGAAGGATGGGACGGAGGGAGGCAGCTCTTGCCAAGGGTGGTGTGGGCAGGCTGGGCTAGGCTGGGGGCGGCAGGGTGATGGGTGTGGAGGCACAGGAGTGGCTGAGGCCAGGGAGGGGAGGGAGGGCCAGGGGACTGGAAGGTTTCAAGACTCAGGAAGGAAGGGAGGCAAGCAAGATGAGAAAGGAGAAAGGTGAGAAGAAAGAAGCAAGGAAGAAAAAGGAGCAAAAGACAGAAAGAAAGAAGGGGACAGAGAGGAGGAAAGAGAAAGAAAGGGAGAAGAAAAAAATCCAGGGAAGATAGACATCTTGAAAGCCCTCTGTGAGCCAGGGAGGTCCTGGTCCCATTCCCACAGCCCCTGCTGGGCCCCCAGCTGCTGGGTGACCTTGAATAAACCCATCCATATCTCTGTGCCACACCTTCCTTGCCTGTGACAAAGCCTGGGAGTCCTGGGCTACAATAGGCCCCTTTGGGCACCTCTGCTGTTCTCATTTTAGCTATGGCATCTGCATGGTTTGGGATACTTGTTTGAGGTAAGAGAAAGTCATAACAGCCACAGAGTACCAGTCGTGCACGTCGCGCACTGTGCAATCATAGAAGAGGACTTTCACAGGCTGGTCTCCATTACACCATTAGCGATGTTAGTGCTCACATTTATTGAGGACACCCACATGTTATCTCATTTAATTCCTGGGTTTTGTTACCCTTATTTTACATAATAAGAAATCTCGGCTCAAAGAGACACTAACTTGCACAGCAAAATAGAGCTAGGATTTAAACCCCGTTCTGCCAGTTCCAGAGGCGGGAGCACCCTCACTCTGGGAGTACAGTTGGCATGGAGAGCCCGCTCACCCTGATCCTGGTCCTCAGCCGCCCGGGCAAGGCATGGAGCCTCAGGAAAGCGCTGCCCACGGCCCCCGGCGCGCTCAGCTCAGCGGCATGCGTCGGACGCCAACAGAGCTGCACCTGGGTTCCAGGCTGCTTCTGTCACCAACCAGCTGAGCGACCTCGGGCCTCAGTTTCCCCCGGCAGGCAGCCCACACGGGGAGATGACTGTGAGCGCTCAGCGGTTCTCGCTGGCCCCGCCCCGGGGGCGGGGCGGGGAGTGGTCACGTGGAGGGGCGCCCCGTCCCCCGAGCCCCGCCCCGCCCCGCCCCGCGCTCGGGGCCCTCCGCCCAGTCTGTGTCTGGAGCCCCGGGCCCCGAGCAGCCGCAGGGCGCCGTGCAGGCTCCGGACGCACTGCCACGCCAGGGCTGGTGAGGTGGCCGCCACCGCCACAGGGGCCCGGGCGCGCCTGCTCACTGCTCGGCCCGCTCCCGGCCAGCCGTGCAGGTGGCTGGACCAGCAGCAGCAGCAGCAGCGAGGACTCGAGCGCGGGCGGCGGCAGCGACACCATGGATCTCTCCTTTATGGCTGCGCAGGTAACGGGCACTTTCGCCACGCGCCCTGGGCCGCCAAGTTTGGGGAGATTGGGGCCGCGGTCTTTCCCTCCCCGCCGGACCGCGCGCACCCGGAGGGCTCTGGCTGGGCAGCGGCGCCCGCCCGGGATCCTGTCCTGGTCCTTTGTCCCAAGCCAGGCACCCCCACCTGGTGCGCGCGTCGGGGGCGGCGAGCTCGGCTGTCCCCGGGTGGGGCCGGCGGTGCACCCTTCGCGCCCGCAGCTTGAGCTCTTCCCACCCGGGGTGCAGGGAGGCTGAGAGGAGCCTGGGCGCCCGAGTCGCCCCCTCCCGGCCCATCCCCCACTGGACATCCCCCTTCCTGTGTCCCGGGGCCCTCCGAGGCCGGGGCAGCCCAGACCCGCGTGGACACGGCGGGGTGGACATCCCAGCTCTTCTACGCTGTTTCCCTCAGGCGCCGGTAATTTGTCACTTGCCAGTAACCTGGGACGCCCCCGACCACTTTTCTGCCCTGTGGGTGGGGACCATAGCCCCTGCCGGCTGGAGGAAAGCGGAAAGCCCCGCGTTGTGTGACAGGCCGTTGTGTGACAGCCCTGTTCGCTTTGTGCCGAGGCTAACTAGCCAGCAGTTCCCTGCGCGGCCACAACCCTTCCCTCCACGCGAACAGGCTCCATGGCAGGAAAAGCAAATGACCTCTCACCGCTTGGTTTTTGTTCCACAACAATCCCCTGGAGTTCTGGGCTTGCATGGTCGTTGTGTTCCTGTGCCTTGACTCTCTTGAGCCAGAACGAAGACGAGCACCCAATTTCTCATGCTTTGGTGGCCCTTGGGAAGACCCAGTGCTCACACAGCCTGGCTCTAGGCAAGAGCTGCGTTTGGTTTGGGAGAATAAGTCCCAGGGCACCAAATTCAGACCTTGCACCTTCTCTGGTTATGTGGGTCGCTTATGTTGGGGGCGGAGAGGTAAGGGGGGCCACCCAGGCTCCCTTCTGTCTCCTGGGTGTATAGCAGGGACCCCACTTGCTGCTGTTTTCTTTCACATGGAATGAAGTTTGAGGGGACATTTTCCTCTTCCCCAGACTTCACCAGTGGTGGAAGCCTGTTTAAAAAGTAACAGCAAAATCCAGACTGTGTGTGGGCATCGAGTCCCCAAACAGAGGCATAAAAGGATGCAGAACCCTCAGGTTGGCTCCAAGGAACCCAGATCCCAGCTCTTTGGCAGCCTCCCAACAAGTTGTCAACAATGCTAATTGCTCGCTGAGTGTTTCGGGCCCTTTTTTTGCCTGATTTTCCATCGCCTGTTTCTAGACCCACGCTTATAAATATTGCCGTGCAGACACCATTTTCAGTGGCCGCATGATAACTGCGGAGGCTTTCCAGAATTTGTTTCTAGAGGGGAGAAGAGTGCACACAATGTCTGTCTCTGCCTCCCCCCTCTGGATCCCGCTGAAATACTGGAGTTTCCATGGTTACAAGATAAATTGATCATTGCTAACCCTGGGGCTGTCTGGAGCGTCAGGAGTTGCTATGGTAACTCAACAAAATAAACAGGGCTTTGGCAGAGCCTGCACAGAGACTGGGTTCCTATTTTTCTCTTTTGTTTACAATCCAAATTCCACCTGGTCAGTATATTCCCCTTGACAGATGTTTGGCATTGGCTACATGCTCAGTGCTGTGCTAACTGCAAGGAACAGACACATGAAGTACCACACGCTGGGAGCAGGTGCTGAGGTCTGCTGAGCACCTAGTACACCTCCTGTGTGTGCTAGACGCTGGGCACTTGGCGCTTTGTTACAGGAAACCCTTACAAGTCTATGACATAGGTCCAGTTTTGGATACTAAACTTCAGCGAGATTAAATAACATGCCCAAGGACATGCCATTAGTAAGGAGAACTGGGTTTTTCCGATCTGGGCCTGAGTATTTTTTCACCTTACTGTTTCATCCTGAGAAAGACACAGTACAAGGGACAGGACAGACATGGTTTGAAATGGTCCATCTCCCTCTGACCCCTGGCTCCCCCGGGGAGGCGGTCCTGCTGTTGTGCCTCTCGCCCAGTGCATTGCTTTCTGGGGTTGGGTCTGTCCCACTCCCCCCGCCCCCATGATGATGGGAACTGTCACTCTTTTATCTGCAGCACTTAGCAGTGCTTGGCCAGAGTGAGTGCTAAGCACCTGCTCTGGGTGTGCACAAGGACCCCCAGGTGTGTGTGGCAGTCACTGCCCCCCACCACAGTCTTTCTCTCAGCAGGGGGCAGCTCCCAGAGAAGTGTTAGTGGATCCACCACTCGTTCAGCAAGTGTTGAGTACCTGCCCATGCCAAGCTCCGTGGGCCGCACTGGGACAGAGATGCAGGGGGACAAAGGTGAAAGGGATGTAGATTTTTCCTCTGGGTGCCTTAGAGAATTGGAGAAATGATGGCCCAGGCCAAGGCCAGTGAGGGGAATGGCTCAAGTGCTGGGCTGGGCAAGGTACTTGGCACTTGGTAGGTCCTCAACAAGTACTTTTTGGGTGATTGGATGAGGACGAGGCAAGATGTATATTCACGGGAAAGACAGTGGATGCGAGGTATCAGGTGCCCTCCCCACCAACACCTGTCAGCGTCGGGACTTTGAGAACGAGGACTCTAGATGGATTGGAACTACAGCAGATTCCCCCTGGTGGCTCTGGGAATAAGGGTGTTCTAGGCGGATCGGCATGGAGGTAGGCAGCCCAGAGTCCTTAAGAGAGCTGGAGGGTCGGGGACACAGGAGGGCTGAGAGGGAGAGGCCAGGGCCAGGTTAGAGAAGGTGCTGACTGCTGGGTGAGAAGTTCCCATGTCATCAGTAGGCAGTGGGAGCCATCGCAGGTTATTGAGCAGGGGAGTGGCACGTATATTAGCAGTTGAAACGGTGGCTTGGGAAGGCCTGGCCCCTGAGAGGGTATAAGCTGGAGGACAGGAGGCGTCGGGAGAGCACTCCGGCGTGATTAACTGACTGAGTGAATGAAACCAGATCCACAGGATTCCAAAGCCCAAGCTGCTGCTCCCTCCCCACGTCCTTAAATGTGATTCCTGTTTTAGTCTTAAGACCCATACAGCGCATAAACCGTTCTAGAAAGGTTTCCTCTCAGAAGCCAAGCATTAGAAAGGCACCCCTCGTGGATGTACGTAGCGGACACCAGTTATTGGCGAGCCCTCCTGCACAGAGGTGCCCTCCCTGGCACTGCACACGAGGCTGCTTGCACAGCGTGGGACAGGGTGCGCCCCCCTGGTGTGAAGATGCAGCTGGCGGACCCCTCCTTGCCCCAGAGCCTGGAGGCTCCCAGCTGCCCTTCCCCCACCCGGGAGGCATCCCCCTCCCCCCCATGGAGACCCTTGAGGCTGTGAACAGTGAATGGGGCATTGTTTCTCTATGGCCAGAAGTGGGGGGTGGGGGGAAGGGCCACCCAGACCCCCGGGAGGCTGGGGAGGGGGGAGGATCACAGATGTAAAACTGAGCCCCAAATCCTTGTGTCACCGTTGGGGTAGCTCCAAAGACAGCCACCTCCCCTCCCTCCTGCACTCTCGTACTGCGCTCCCCACCAGCAAGAGCTGTGGTGGGAGTCCCCTCCCCTAATGACCTCATCTTAACTTGATCACATCTTCGGAGACTTTATTTCCAAATAAGGACACATTTAAAGGTACTAAGGGTTAGAACTTCATCGCATCTTTCGAGGGGACACAATTCAACCCATAACGGGGTCCGAAGACCCATAAAGGATGGGGATCGCGGCCCCTGCGCTAGCAGCCGCTGGGCTTAGAGAGGCGGTGATCCGATCACTTCCGGAAACCTTGGTTTCCTCATCTGTGGGATGGGGACAAAACTGCCTTCGTCGTGGAACTGTTGGTTTGGTCATTAGTCAAACCTTTCCTGTGTGCCGGGCCCTCGCTGCGTGGCGTGCTGGGGGAAGGGGGTGTGCCACAGGCCCTGCAGGCGACACGTGAGAGAGAGGGTGGGAAGGCTTCTGGAGGTTTGGCCGGAGCTGGGTTTGAAGGGTGCGTGGCTGCCGTGCAGACGTAAGAGTAAGGGAACCGCGTGCACAGAGGCGAGGGGCTTGAAACAGCGTCTGCTGTTGGGGTGGGAGATGCAAGTAGCCATTTGGCTGGAGCAGAGGAGGCAGGTGGCGAGGCAGAGGGGGATGAGGCCAGGGAGCCTGAGGCCGGCGGGTGACCTCAAAAAGTGGAGCAGGATGTGGTGGGGGCTAGGAGAGCCGGGACGGCCTGGAGGGGCCCCTGAACTCCAGTCCCTTTCTTGTGCCCTGCAGACATGCCAGCCTAGGGCTGCAGGTGCTTCTGGGTTTTCAGGAAAGCTGAGATTCTGATTTTCACACGCAGTCTGGATTTTTTTTTCATGTTGGAAACTAATTAGAAATGTTTAACAAACCATCCGACCATGATGTGGACTGTCGCAGTTACTTACTGCTTATTATTTCAGTTACTTAGTGGCTTAAAGCAATAATTGATTTTGCTCGTGATTTTGTGGGACCAGAATTCAGGAAGGAATCGGCTAGACGGCTTGTTTTTGCTCCAGTGGCATCAGCTGGTGCAGCCAGGGCTGGAGTTTAGGCTTCCAGTGTGAGGCTTCCTCACACTCTCCAATTGGGATTTCATCCTGCAAGGGTTTCTTCGGGCGTCTTGGACTTCCTCCCAGTATGGCGGTCTCAGGGGCACTGCACTTCCTGTATGACACTAGCTTCCCCCAGAGCCAACGGTCCCAGGTGCAAGCTGCAGGCTTCTTAGGACCTAGCCCCGGATGTCCCAGAACGTCACAAACAGTACATTCTCTCTGTCAAGAAACTCCTAAGGCCAGCCCAGATAAGGGAGGGGAGTCAGATTCCAGCTCTTGGTGTGGGGGGCAGCGTGCACCTCCAGGAGGGAGGGCTGGTGTGGACAGTGGCTGTGTTTGGAGACTGGCTGCTATCTGGACCAATCAGAACAGGTGTGTGGGCTGGGTTCATGCTGGGGCTGCTGGTGTGCTAGCTCTAGACTGGGCAGATGTGGTGTAAA